TAGTCACTCAGCAGCCGTCTCCGTTATTGGAGAGAGAGAGACCACATTCGCATAACTGATTACAGTACACTGTTAGAATGTCCTGTTTTATTGTTAGTTAGTGTTGTTCGTCTCTTCCTGTGTGCCTAATTTATTTTATTTTATTTTTTAAATATATTTTATTGATTTTTTTACAGAGAGGAAGGGGGAGAGATAGAGAGTCAGAAACATCGATGAGAGAGAAACATCGACCAGCTGCCTCCTGCACATCTCCCACTGAGGATGTGCCCGCAACCCAGGTACATGCCCTTGACCGGAATCGAACCCGGGACCCTCCGGTCCGCAGGCCGATGCTCTATCCACTGAGCCAAACCGGCCACGGCCTGTGTGCCTAATTTAAAAGCTAAACTATATCATAGGCATATATTAGAAAACACAGTATATATAGGGTTTGGTACTACCTGTGGTTTCAAGTATCCACGGGGGTGGGGGTGGGGGGGGCGGGTCTTGCAACGTGTCCCTGAGGATAAGGGGGGGCTACTACTGTATTTCCTCGAACCTAAGATGATAAGGTGCGCGTGACTCTGTCCCACGAAGAACGGATTGGGAGACACATCTCAGACTCCAGAGACCGTGCGCCTTCGCGTTGATGAGATACTTTATTATCGGGAGGACGAGGAGGGGGCAGCAAGAGAGCGCGTCTCTATAGAAGCAGCTCTCCCCTCGGGATGCATTTCAGAATCCGATGCCCAGACTGCATCCCACTTAAACCCAGACCTCTGGGGGAAGGGGGCCCAGTAATTCATCGGTGCCTTGGTTGCCCCATCTGCAAAGCTGGGATAATTCTAGAATCTGCTTCTAGGGCTGTTGTGTTGAATGAGTGATTTAGAACGGTGCCAGGCCCACAGAAATGCTGAAATCCATGTTAATGATTACTCAACCCTGTACCCCAGGTCCTGGCATATGCTAGGTGTTTCCTAAATGTTGGTCAAAAGCAGGAGTAAATACATTGTCACATGGCTGCTGCCCTGCCCTCCCCCCGCCAGCTAGGAGAGGCCCACTCTGGCCTCTGGCCAGAGTGTGGGGGCCCGAGAAGAGGCTTACCTGCCCCAGAGCCTGGGGTCCAAAGTTCAGGGAAGCCCCACCCTTCCCCAGCACCGCGCCCCACCCCCAGGCTGTCCTCGGTGGGGTGGGCACTGTGGGGAGGGCCCTGCCAAGACCTCATGGAGTCGGTGACGAGAACCAAACTGCTCCCCCAGCCTCCACCCCTCCCCTGTTCTGCTTTCCTTGTTTTCTTTTCCATAAAGATTAGTCTGTGTTGCTCCTCTATCAAGGCCCGGAGGATAAACATGTGGTCCGGAGGCAGAGAAAGCCCAGGCTCGAAGGCCCCTGGCTGCCCCCACCCCAGCAGCGTAAACCCAGGGCTTTTAAGCGAGGAATGGTTTTCAGTAAATCTCTCCTATCAGCAGAAACCTTTGAAAGAGTTTGTTTAAAGGCCAGGGAGATAAACAGCAAGGAGAAGTGTTTGTTTAAGATGTATGTTCTGTGTGGGCACTCTGGGGCCCGGATTCACATCTGAGGGACAAGAGCCTCTCAGAGTCTGGGTGCGGGCCTCCCAGGGGCTCCCGGGGCCCTGGGTGTGGACTCCAGCCCCAGCAGGAACCCAGTCCTGGGGTGGGGGGGGGGGGGGCGGGGGAAGGGAAGGGAGCTGGACTGCACCTGTGGGCCCCTCCCAGGCTGGGGTGGGGATGGGGGCGGGGGTGAACGCTGCTGCAGGAAGGGGAAGGAGCCTTCCTCACCCTGTTAGGAGGGAAGGGGCCCCAGGAGGATCTGCTGGTTGGTCTGCAGGCAGAAAGCCCCCAGGAAGCCAGCTGCCTCACGCCCCCCACTCAAAATTCAGAGCAAGGGCCTGGCTCCGGGCCCTGCGCCCCCCACTCAAAATTCAGAACAAGGGCCTGGCTCCGGGCCCTGCCGTGGCTCTGTACTCAGCAGCCCGACCTGAATGAGAGCTTGACTCGGTATCGCCTGCTCCATGAACTTGGACAAGCCACCTAACCCATCACTGGAGCCGAGGTCCTCTCTGTTGTGCAAATACCATGCCGCCGCAAAGGGCTTTAGGTACTCTTCCCGCCACTGGACAAACATGCACGGCTGCGTATCAGACACTGGTCTGAGTGCGTGGGGGGCGACAGAAAACACAGCCAGCAAAGTCTGCCCTTTGGGAGCCTAAAGTGAGGGAACGAGACAATGAACCTAGGAATGGGTAAGGCAGGGATCCTCAAACTACGGCCCGCGGGCCACATGCAAATACAAATATTGTATTTGTTCCTGTTTTGTTTTTTTACTTCAAAATAAGATATGTGCAGTGTGCATAGGAATTTGTTCATAGTATTTTTTTTTAAACTATAGTCCGGCCCTCCAACGGTCTGAGGGACAGTGAACTGGCCCCCTGTTTAAAAAGTTTGAGGACCCCTGGGGTAAGGTCTACCTTAGAAGGGGTTAGAGCTGTGGAAAGAAGCAGAAAGGGTAGAGGAACTGGGGAAAGAAGCTGGTCTCTGAAGCAGATCCAGATCTCTGAGGACAGAGGGGTCCGGGGGAGCTCTGGGCCAGGGCAAGGCCTGGAGAGCTGAGTGACATGCCCTCTGTCCCCCACACAACGAGGGCCCTGGAGCCTGGGCCTGCAGTCAGAAAAAGAACTGGCATTGTTGTCGACGCAATTACTGAGGGCAGGAGGGCTTCCCGGAGGAAGCAGGACTTGAGCTGGGTTTCCCCCGGAATTCCTTCCCCTGCCCAGGAGAGAGGAGAGACCGTGTCTCCGGAGCGAAGCCCCTTGAAGGTGAGGAGACAGGCAGACCAGTGAGGGGCCTGGGGCAAAGGCAGCTGGATTCTCAAGGAAAGGCCTCAGCCGGAGTCATCGGGACAAGTGATTGCAGCTTCCTGGGCCGCTCTGTCCTCGACAGTAAAATGGGAAGGACATATCCTGCCCTCACGGGATGCTTGGGAAGAGGAAAGTGAGATGGGGCCCAAGGTTCTGGGTTCCATCCCCGGTTGGGGCACATGCAAGAATCACCCAATGGATGCATAACTCAGTGGAACGACTCGATGTTTCTCTCTCTCTCTCTCTCTCTCTCTCTCTGGAGCACAGTAGATGCTCAGTAAGTGTTGGATTTGTGTTTCGGGCCCTCCCTCGCCCTTTCAGACTCCTTCTGGCTCTTCCATAAGAGGGTGAATGGAAAGGTGACAGGCCCACCGGGTCTCAGAGTGGAAGATGTTGGACAGCTGAGCTTTGTCTTCATGTAGCTGAAAGGCAGTTTCACCAGAGAAAGCGTAAATTTGTTCCTGGGCTCCGAAGGGAAGGTGGGCATTTCAGGGAACAGCTGTTTACTCTGCTCAGGAGGACCTGCTCCGGAACCAGGGGCAAAGTGGACCTCTTTAGAGGTGTGCGCTCCTGCCCATGGTCCCGTGAGCAGAGGCGCTGGGTTTGCAGTAGAGGCTGAGCAGAGGGCACCCCTGCTCTGGGAGGAGTTTGACCTGCTGGCTTGGGGTCCCTCCCAGCTGTGAGATTTGGGGATCTACTTCCATTCCTCCCCAGGCTCCACAGTCCATGGCAATGTGTCCGCACACCAGACTTTCTCCAGCACCTCGTGCAGACTTGCCTGGCCTGTGTGCCCAGTGTTCTGCCATGTGACAGGCCAGCAGGTCCGACAGATGAGTCCGCGCTAGGTTTGCAGTGGTCACCGATGAGCATGCTGGCCCTGCAGGTAACCCAGGGGCAGTGTAATGGGGTCCAGGCTGTGTTAGCTGGACAGCAGGAGCACCGGTGACACACAGGCACTGGGAGAGAGACCCAGGGACAGATCCGTTTGGGGAAATACGCCTGAGTGGCTTATCAGATAGTCCCCGGTGCCCTCCAAACCCCACCCACAATAAGAGTAAATGTAGCTAAGATCACAGACCGTGGCTCAGAGATTTAAAGAGCCCGACTGCCCAGCTCCACCTCTCCCCGTGAACCCGCTGAAGTACCAGGGGACCCTGGCACCTTCTCCCTGCCCCACACACACGCTGTGCCAAGGAGAACCCGCTCGCCTGGCAGCTGGGAGCCACACTCTTCTTCTAAAGCTTCTGCATCTCCTTTCCCTCCTCCTCCACCCCCCCATCCCCATCCCCAAAAGGAGGATGCCCCTTCTGTTGAGTACACAGCCTGTAATTTTGCTGTCAGATCTCAGCCAGGAGGTCAGTGTTGTGACTGACTGTTTAAGGATCGCTCCCTTAGGGTAATTACACTAAATTCCCTTCTGAAGGACAGCTCTCTCTGGATAGAATGCGAGAAAGCCCGCAGCCCCCATTCACGGGAATCTGTGATTCCTGTCGTTGTCACGGGCACCCTGGCAGCAGGGCGACACATCAAGGAGCTCCAGCTACTCTGCCCAGAGGTGAGTCTTCAGGGTGGCAGGACCCAGGTGTGTGTGGGGGCTGGGTGCAGTGGAGGATGGTCCCGCAGCAAGCGGGGAGGGGCCAGGGGGGCCACACTGGGAGCACCTTCATTCTGAGCTGGGCCAGCCCTGAACTGGGAAAGCAGCAAGGCCCCTGCTGCCATCCACCCGTGAGAGGAGACCCTGGGGCATTCACGCATTCCTTTGTTTAACAGGTTGGGCCTTGAGCGCCCATCACCTGCCCTGCACTGTGCCAGGAACTAAAGGGGGACCCCGCAGGGGGCAGCAGCCCCCTCTGGAAAGAGCTGGAGGGCTGGAGCTACACAAAGCGCTGGCACAGAAAGGTGGGTTCGTATCCAAGCCCCTCCACCCCCAGGCCCCTTCAGAGGGGCAACGCCCTGGCCCTGGTCCCCACCCGCCCCTGGGAAGATGGGAGAAATGGCCAAGACCTTCCCGATCTCATACCCCGGCACCCAGCAGCCCCTGCACTCACACTCCTCCCACCCCAGGGAGACCCCGGCGAGAGTTGGGGAGTCACTCACCCACGACAAACAGTTAAAAGGGAGAAAGCGGGTCTGGCGATATCAATGCACTTTGATAACAATAAACTCTGCTTTTAATTTATGCTAATGTGTAGGGCTGTGGTGACAGTAAGAACTAAATTACAGAGTGGCTTTCGAGCTGGTAATTATCCCTCCATTTTTCGCTGCTCGGGAAGATGGACACACAATTATGCTCTCTTGCTGTATATTAATACAGATTCTTGACATCTTCAGCAGACCTAGCGCTGTCATCCAGCTTTTTGTCTCCTTTAATTGAAAATTAATGGTTACTGGGTTGCCACGGAAACAGAGGCCACGGACGCCAGTGGCGCTCATGTCTCACTGAGGGACTGGCGGCTTTAGGAGTCCGGAATGACCTTGAAAGTTAAAAGAAAAAAAAAACTTAAAAAAGAAGGGGAGAGGAGGGGAAATGAGGACAGGAGGGTGGGAGAGTGTGGGAGCTGAAGAGAGGAGGGAGGGAGGGAGGGAGGGAGGGAGGGAGAGAGAAGGGGGAAAAGGATAAAAATTTAAAACCAGAAAATTTGCAGGAGGCTGGATGCTTGAGGAGAGAAATTAAATTAAATTAGTAAGTTTTACCTCTCAATTTTTGTCTCTTAACTCTCTCTCTCTCTCTCTCTCTCTCTCTCTCTCTCTCTCTCCCTCTCTCTCCATTGAAAAGCTGAGAGCTGGGGGCTCAGCTCCGAAATGCAAGATTCTACAAATCTGTCAGGAAGAATGACAGCATCCGCCCAGAGCTCCGGGAGGAAGAGACAAAGGCTCCCCGTGCCCCGGGAGGCGGCGGGCAGAGCAGGGGCAGGGCTGAGGTGTGCGGCAGGCACGTCCCAGGGCCCGTGGCTGTGCAGTCAGAAATGGGGACCAGCGAGGGGGCTGCCTCGTGGGGAGCTGCCCTGACACTGCTCCAGCCTACGGAGCAGGCAAAGGGCTCTGTGGCTGGGCCCGCAGCTGGAAGACACCACAAAAGAACTCAGATCTGAGTCAGAGATGAGGGTCTAAAGGGGGCGGGTCCTGGCGGGGGAGGCACCCTTTGGTTTGCCCGGGAAGAGAGGAGATAAAGCAGCAGTTCCCTGGGACTCAGGAAGGCCGGTGGCTCTGGGCTTGGGAATGCTTTTTCCTAGAAGTTGGTCAGCCCAACTGAGCGGCAGTGGGGACCTGAGTTCTAGCTGGAAGGTGGGCTCCTTCCTCATCGGCCACCACTTCAGCTCCTCAGCCCAGAGCCCAGGCTCCAGAAATGCAATGTAATCAGCAGCTACTGATGTCTCAGTGAGCCAGGAGCACAGCTAGTGAGTCGGGCGAGGAGCCTGCCCCTCCCCTGGGGATAGACAGACGGGTAGACGAACAATTGCAAACTTACTGCCTCTCGGAGGTTTTCCTCCGAGGAGGTTCGCCACAGTTTTGTTTATAACAGCAAGCATCTAGCGACAACCAGGATGACCAGCAGTTGAGAACTGATAAAGTGATACGCCTTACATTGTACCCAAAAGACGGAGGACGCCACAGTCATTTCAAATTACCTTGGAGAAGAACATTTAATAACTTGGGGGAAGGGTCTCCTCGATATTTTGTCTAATGAAACAAAATAATTTTTCAAACTGATAATGCATTTATGATTTCATGATCCTGTTTCTAAATTTTTTAAAATATATGGACATTAAGTGTGTTATGCTGTGATAGTTACCTATATGTGTGTCAATGTGTGTGAATATGTGTGAGTATTGTGAATAGGTGTGTGAATACTCGTGTGTGTGTGCATATAAATATTTTTGCTTTTGGAAAAAAATTTTCAATTACAGTTACATTCAATCTTATTTGTATGGTCGGCGTTGGTGGTATAGTGGTGAGCATAGCTGCCTTCCAATCTTATTTGTATTAGTTTCAGGTGTACAGCATAGTAGTTAGATAATCATATACTTTACAGAGTGGTCCCCCAATATATCAAGTACCTGGCACCATACATAGCTATTACAATATTATTGACCATGTCCCCTATATTGTCATCTACATCCCTGTGCCTATTCCGAGTATGTACATATACTGAATTTTTAAAAACTAAAAAATATACAGGACAATCTTACCATGGTTGCCTCCGAGTGGTGGTATTATCATTATATGCACTTTATCTTCTTTTCTATGCTTTTCTGTATTTTCCAAATTTTCTATAATAAATATACATAATTTTTATTGACAGGGGTGGGGGTGTTTTTGAAACTAGCTTCTCCAGAAACGAGTCCCCTAGATGTAATATCCCCAGCCAGGAGCTCCTCCCACACCTGAGACTAGACGCCCTGGCCAGGTGCGTTCCCCACAGACACTCAGCAGACCCTTCCCTCAATTACCAGAACCCCACCTAGCCCCTCTCCCACCCCTAGCCTGTGGCAGGTGTCCAGAAGAGGGGATGGGATGAGGACCCCCAGGAGGAGCTGCAGGGAGGCCAGGAACCCGTCCTTGTTCCAATCTTTATCCCATTTTACAGCCCAGGCAACTGAGGCTCAGAGATGCTAATTGATTTGCTCCAAATCACACAGCTGGTGGGTGGCAGAGCTGGAGCTCAACCCCAGGGGCTGCCAGGTGTGTAGTCCCTGCCCCTTTCCCTGCTGCCTTGTCCCTCACCAGGTCCAGAGAACCCAGGAGTTCTGGAAGCCTCTGTCAATTGCTTGAATTTCTGGAATCAGCCCCATTCTGGGGAGGTCACCATGATAAACAGTATCTTTTCATGGTCTCTGTGCCCTTGGCAGGCCTGGGAGAGAGTCGTGTTACCCCTAGTGAGAGCAGGACCTTTGAGAAAGACTGGCGGATGGGGCTCCCGTAAAGGCATCCTTTCCACCTCTCACCAGACAATCCTCCATCCCTGCCCCTCCCGGGCCCCACATCACCTGGCACGTGGGAGCTTGCCTCTCACCCCCAATCTACTCCTTCACCCCTGCCAAGCCTCAGCCTCCAAAATCCCATCCCACACTCCCTCCCCCCAGAAGCTTTCCGGTGATTAACTTCACGTTGCCACTGCTACTGCTTCACTCTGCCCGTGCGACTAAATAAGACCACCCTCACTGCACACGTCCTCTGTGGCAGGCCTCCTCCTAGCACTGCTCATGTGCTCACTCCCTTCATCCTCTTAACAGCCTCAGAAGGAGGTGCCGCTATTTTCTCCCTCTGAGGCACAGAGAGGTTAGCGGCCTTGCCCAAGGTCACACAGCAAGTCAGTGGCAGAGTCGGAATCTGAACCCAGGCGGTCGGAGACCAGAGGCCACGCTCTTAGCCACCACGCCAGTGACAACGCAAGGGACTGCGGTGTCACGGGAACTCTGTAGCCCATTTGGCTGAGCTCCGGTGACATCTCAATGACAAGACAGGTCTTGGTGATGACCTTTTCCCAGAACAAGGGAGCCTGCGTTCGAAGGCAGGTGGAAACAGCTGCCTTCACATGCGGGAGGTATGTGGGCCTCATCAATCCTGTCGCCACCAGTCCTGCCCCCAACACTCAGGACAGGCTCTGCACATAGGAGAAGGGTAACAGGGGTCCGGCTGGCTGCCCAGGGCTGACTAGGGACAGTCACCAGTCACCAGGGAACGGTCCCAGGCGAGGGTCTGCCCTGGATGGGCCCTGAGAGCCAGAGGCCTGGCACCCTCTCCTCTCCACTGCCCTCCGCCCTGCTGCCTGCCTTCTCCACCTCTCCCCCGCCCTCCCCGCCACCTCCCTGCCTCACCCTGTCCACTGCCCTCCCTGCCCACTTTCCCAGAGCGAGAACAAGAAGACAAACTCAGCAGCGGAGTGGAGGCGGCGGCAGCAGTGGCAGCAGCGAGGGGCGCAGGGAACTTGCCTTCATTTCCCCAGCTTCCCTGATCCCGACCTTAATCCCCGCTCAGCATCCTGTCAGCCAGGCTGTTCTCAAGCTGACATTGCTGCAGGCGCCTTCTCGGCAGCCTTTCCTCAGATCTGCCTCCTCTGGGACTTCTAAAGAGGAGCCCGAGGTTTCTCTGTTACAGCCGGCTTCACTCGCTGCCCTCCAGCAAAGCCTGGGCTCCCAGGGGGCCGCGGGGAGAGGGGGCTGCAGGGGGGCAGGGCCAGGCCTGACACTTCGGAGGAAGAGGGGAGGATGGAGGTGGCTGGATCCCAGAGGCTTCCAGAGGGAGAGTCAGACCTGGGGCAGGGAGGAGCCCGGCCAGTGCTGTTGGCCTCCTCAAAGCAAGGGGAGCCTTGCTCAGATGCTTGGGCCTGAGAGGCAGAGGGGAAACTGAGGCTGGAGCCGGGGAATTCAGGCCGGCACCGGTTCCAGCTTGGAGAAAGCAGAGGTGTGGGTGGCTTTCGGGAAATCACAGCTCAGGTGGGTTTGGAGAAGGGCAGCGGGGCCTGCGCAGCTTGTGTGAAAGACAAACCCTGTGTACGCACACGTTAGCCAGTGGACTTCCTGAGCCCCGGCTCGGTGCTCAGAGAGAGGGAAAGGCAGCCATGAAGGGGTGCAGTGTGAGCTGGGCAGGGGGTGGGTCCGCTTTTCTTTTCTTTTTTTAAAATATATTTTATTGATTTTTTACGGAGAGGAAGGGAGAAGGATAGAGAGTTAGAAACATCGATGAGAGAGAAACATCGATCAGCTGCCTCCTGCACACCCCCCACCGTGGATGTGCCCGCGAACAAGGTACATGCCCTTGACTGGAATCGAACCCGGGACCCTTCAGTCCGCAGGCCGACGCTCTATCCACTGAGCCAAACAGGTCAGGGCCACTCTGCTTTTCTGAGCCCCATTTTTCTCATCTACAAGGTTGGGGGTTTTAATAAAAGCTTCCTTGCAGGATCCGTGTGACGTTTAGGGTCAAGTGTGCAGAGCTCCCGGGACTTAGGGTGATTTTTACTATTCACGTCACCATCTGCAGGGGACGTGAGCGTCCAGAGCTTTGGGTCTTCCTGAGAGGGGGCCTGAGAGCGTGGGTGCAGGCCAGTGTCTGCTGGGGGCGGGGTGTCCTGGGCAGGGCTCCCGGAGTCTCCAGGCCGCAGCCTGAACAGATGCCCAAGGCAGCGGGACCCCTTCCCCACACTCCTGCCGGCCAAGGCTCCTGAAACCCAGGGAGCCCCCACACAGCCCCTCTCTCCCGGGACCCCCTCAGAGCACAGGGCTCCCAGGACTAAATAGGCAGGTAGCACCCAAGACCCCAGGTGCTCAGCATTCAAGTCCGTCTTGGAAAAGCGAGCACTTCTCTTACCAGCCAGGATCCCTGCGGGACAGTCCCGGGGAACCCCTGAGGTCACTGGGCAGAACCGGCCCCACGGTGCCTGTACACACACCTCTCTTCCAGTCGGCAGGAGGTGGGGCTACCCGGTCCAGCTTCCAGGGTGGACTCGCATTCCTGGGGGCAGTCCCTCTGGGTCTCCCCGGCAGGTGGCCTGAGACACCCCTGGGCCTCCATGTCAGGCAAGGCCTGGGCCCCCTGCCTGGCGTTCCGAGAGACAGGCTCAGGCAGGGTTCCCTTCAAACTCGCCAGGCACCGAACTGGGTTGGGGGAGCAGGGCGGCTCCCTGCTGCCTCTTCCCTCCCTGGAGCATCCCCCCAAAGAGGGCTCCTTAGCGCCTGGGGGAGGACTGGGGAGCACATCGCAGATCTCTGACATCTCACATTCCCCCACATGCCCGGCCCCCACAGCCTTGTAACTACTCCCACCTGCCGAGCAGAATTCTACCACAGGGTGTGCCCCCGGCAGAAGGGGCAGTGTGGGGGGTGAGTTGGGAGTCCTGGCTCTCACAGCCGGTCGAGCAGACCATGGCCAGTCCCTCCGGGTCCCTGCCCCTCGTGACCTCACCTGGGAAGCAGCAGCTGAAAACCAGGAGGCCTCAGAGAGACACAGGTATAGAGTGCGGCGGGTACAAGGCCTGGATCTTGGCAGAAGGAATCCTTTTGGACCCTCCCCCCTGGCAGGTGCAGGCTACCCAGGAAGCCCCTTGTCCGGCCTCCTCTCGGCAGCCCGAGCCTCAAGCTGCCCAGCTCTAATACAAGCCCATCTGTTTGGGGGTTTTCAGAAGCAGCTGGGAGGGGACCTCACCCACCCAACTCCTTCCCAATGGGTGGAGTCAGAGAACCCCAGTCTGGCAGCCTTGAGCTTTGATGTCTAACCCAGGGTGTCGGGGAAGGCAGGGAGGGAAAGGACGGGGAGAGGGGGAGGGAGGAGAGGGGGTTCTGGGAGCCGGATCCCGAAACTCCCAGGGGCGTGAGACCAGAAACCCCAACCCCAGGCCCCCCACCCCGCCCCCCAAGCCACCGTCCGGAAAAAATAAACTATTTCCTGCAACCAGCTCCGAAACAAAGTCTGTGAGTGAGCTGTGACACATGTTACATAAATAGAAGCCGCAGAGGGGAAAAGCCTGTTTTCTCTTTCATTATTTATCACTCTCTAACCATCTCCAGCTGGGCGAGCAAACAGGCGCATTGGCCCGTAATGAGGAACAGGGCTGCCGTGGGGCGGGGGCGGGGCCCGAGGGCGAGGGTGTGCGCATGTGTCTGTCTGTCTGTCTGTCTGTCTGCTCCTGAGAGGGAAGAGTGGGAGTCTGCGATGGAGGAGGCTGTGGGGACACATGTTTCCGGACAGCAAGCGCTGTCCGCCTGGTGCCCTGGCCGGGGTGGACGCAGTGGCCGGCTGTGCATCCCCGCCCTGAGGGTTGGTAGGGGACGGCGCGCTGGATGGAGGAGTCAGAAGGGGAGAGACTGTGTGGGTGGGAGAGGATGTGAGAGGTATGAGCCAAGTGTGAGGCTGCGAATGTGCCAGGTCTCAGAGCATGACCCCCAGGGGTGGCCTCGGAGTGTGGCCAAGGGGATGTGTGGGAGAGGGGTGGGGGTGGGGGTGGGAAGGCATGTGAGGGAAAGTGATTGTAAGGCATGTGGGGGCTGGATGTAAGACCGGGAGTCTGGGGGACAGTGCATGCATGTGAGCGTATGCGTGCATGTGTGTGTGAATGCGTGCATGTGTGTGTGAATGCGTGCATGTGTGTGTGATGCGTGTGTGTGATCCTGGGGATATATATGGATAGGTGTGATTTTGCGACTATGGGAATGAGGGAATGTATGAGTGTGCACATCTGTGGACTTCAATAGTGTATACAGCTGAGCCCTGGCCACTATGGCTCAGTGGCTGAGCATCAACCTATATACCGGGAGGTCA